AATCGCCCACCAATCCAGCTAGAAGGAGCTTTTGGAGACCACAGTTATCCGCAGCAGAACGCCTCCGACGGCAGAAGTCTAACCTCTGCCTCTATTGTGGTGAAGCAGGACATTTCGTGGCTACCTGCCCGATAAAGCCTCACAAACCCTCTCCCAACTGTTTTTACATGATGCACCCTCAGGGAACAAGTCGAACGCACCTCTCTTTTCATCTGCAACTACAACTGGCCGAAAGGACTATCATGGTGCCGGCCATCATGGACTCGGGTGCCTGTAGCTGCTCTATGGATGCTCACTTCGCTACTCAGAATCGGATTCCACTCCGTACTAAAGCACAAAGGCTTGCAGTTCATCTGGGTCCGGTATCAGTTCTTGTCCTGTAACACAAGAAACCTTGCCAATATTCTGCTACTCTCTTTCTGGACACCAAGAATTACTATGTCTGGATATTATTACCGCCCTGATTTTTCCAATTATCCTCGGCATGCATTGGCTAAGAGCACAAAATCCAACCATCAATTGGTTGTCTGGAGAAATCTCCTTCCCTTCAGAATATTGTCTGACTCACTGTACTCCCAAAGAGACAGGTGTGACAAATCCTCTTCTCAGTATCCACTCTGATCCTGAAACCATGAAGCTTGTTCCTGTGGTATATCACGAGTATCTGGACGTGTTCAATAAGAAGAGTGCCAACACCCTTCCTCCGTATCGTCCCTATGACTGTCCGATTGAGCTCCTGCCCGGTGCCGAAATTCCTTTCGGTAGATTTACCCCTTATCCGAAGTCGAATTAGAGGTCCTCTGGGGGTATATAGATGAAAGCCTGGAAAAAGGGTTTATTCGACCTTCTACATCACCAGCAGCATTTTCTTTGTGGAGAAAAAGGATTGCACTCTGAGACCTTGTGTAGACTATTGGGACCTATACAAAATTACGGTCAAGAACCGTTATCCCCTTCATCTGATCCCCAAATTATTTCAAAGGCTACAAGGAGCATTCTTTTTCTCAAAATTGGATCTGAGGGACGCTTACAACCTAGTGAGAATTCAGGAAGGGGATGAATGGAAGACAGACAGATTTGAGCACTTTGAATATCTGGTATTGCCCTTTGGTCTCTGTAACACCCCAGCACCCTTCCAACACCTGGTAAATTATGTATTTCAGGACTATCTGGATCTATTTTTAATCGTTTATTTGGACGACATCCTGGTTTTTTCCTGTTCCATAGAAAGTCATCGTGATCACGTAAAGAAAACTCTGCATAGACTACGCCAGCATCGCCTCTACGCAAAGGCCGAGAAATGCGAATTCGAGAAGCAATCTATCCAATTCCTTGGGCTGGTAATCACTCCTGAAGGCATCTCTATGGATCCTCAAAAAGTGTCTACCATCTTAGAATGGCCCATTCCAAGAGACAGGAAAGCAGTGCAGCCCTTATAGGGTTCGCAAACTTCTATAGGAAATTTATCAAGGACTTCTCTGGAATCCTTGCACCAGTGACACAGCTCACCAGGCAATATATTCCCTTCAAGTGGACTCCTGAGGCCCAAACAGCCTTTGAGCAGTTAAAGACCATGTTCACGTCCGCACCTATCCTGAAGCATCCAGACCCTGCTCTAGCCTTCGTCCTTGAAGTTGATGCTTCAGAGAACGCGGTAGGAGCCATATTGTCACAAAGACAGGGACTCAAATCCCTTCTGTACCCGTCGCTTTCTCTCTCCCGGAAATTGAGTGTTTCTGAAAGGAATTATGTGGAAGACAGGGAGTTACTAGCTATCAAGGCAGCATTGGAAGAATGGCGCTACTTACTAGAGGGAGCAGCCCATCCTATTCTTATCTTTACTGACCATAAAAACCTAGAGTACCTGAGAACAGCAAAATGCCTCAGGCCGTGACAAGCAAGATGGGCACTATTTTTCTCACGCTTCATCTTCCATCTGACTTACCGTCCGGGATCAAAAAATGGTAAACCCGATGCACTCTCCCGTATGTTTCCCGACCCAGTTGTGCAGTCTGAACCCGACACAATTTTGCCAGCTAAGAACTTCTTACTTCTACAGACAGATCTTGAAACGCAGATAAAAGAAGCCGTGGATAATCATCCACCGCCCATAAATATGCATCTGCAATTTAAAGATGGCCTGTACTTCCACAAAGAACAAATCTTTGTGCCCGAAGAACTTCAGACTCTTATTCTCCAGAGATGTCACGACCATCCCTTAGCAGGTCACTTTGGGATTCACAAGACTTCAGATTTGGTCTCTCGCTCTTTCTGGTGGACAAACACAGTAAAGGATTGCCAGGACTATGTGAAATCTTGCACAGTCTGTCTGAGGAACAAGTCTGATAAAGCCAAGACTTTTTGGAATCCTTGCCCGTACTGAAAAAACTTTGGAGCATGATCTCCATGGACTTTATTGTTGAACTTCCCCCATCTGAGGGATTCACCACTTTGTGTAGTGATTGATCGCCTGTCCAAGATGGCCCACTTCATCCCCTTGAAAGGGACTCCTTCTACCATGGAAACTGCCTCCGCTTTCATCAAGGAGATTGTAAGGCTACATGGCGTTTCCCTGAATATTGTGTCTGATCGAGGAGTGCAGTTCACATCCAAGTTTTGGAAAGCTCTGTGTGAGGCATTAGAGATCGAGTTACGCTTCTCATCTGCTTACCACCCACAAATGGGCAAACGGAATGGACAAATCAAACTCTGGAGCAATATCTCCGATGCTTCTCCTCATATTCACAGGATGACTGGGCATCGCTCCTTCCATTAGCGGAATTTGCGTATAATAATTCCATCCATTCCGCCACCAAACAATCCCCCTTTTACTCCAACTACGGATACCATCCCTCCTTTCTTCCAGAAATACCAGTGAAGGCCGCTGTTCCGGCAGTACAAGAAAGGTTGGAGCTCCTCAGGAGGAACGGCAAAGTATTACAGAAAACGATTTCTGAAGCTCAGGCGAGCAACAAGAAATTTTTTGATAGAAAGAGAAAGGGCAACTTGAAACTAAAACAAGGGGATAGAGTCTGGCTATCCATGGCTAATCTGAAATTAAGTTGTCCATCAAGGAAGCTTGGTCCAAGATATCTGGGACCATTCACTATCAAGAGAAGGGTTAACCCTGTGGCCTTTGAATTGGAACTACCTGCTAACATGAAGATTCACCCAGTATTCCATTTTTCTTTATTAAAACCACACATCCCAAGTGGGTTTCCCAACCGGAATTCAGAGGCACCTGCTCCACTGCTGGTAGAGGGAAATGAAGAGTACGAAGTGGAGGCTATCTTGCATTGTAAGAAGAGGGGCGGACAAACCCAGTTCCTCATCAAATGGAAGGGATATGGACCAGAGGATAACTCCTGGGAGCTGTCCACTAATGTCCATGCCCCACGGATAGTCCAAGCCTACCACCATCGTCATCCTGAGAAACGAGTCCTAGTGGGCATCCAGAGGCTGCCCCTAAGGGGGGGACAATGTAAGGGATTTCCAGCAAGAAGGAAATCTCGCAGACGAATGCGGAAAGGAGATCTCGCAGACGAATTGCCGGTTGTGCGCAGGCGCGCAGGAATGCGTGATCGCGCACATGCACGCACACGTGCACACGCACGGCAAAGATTGGCGCCAGACAGGCCATTTAAGGAGCGCCTCTGCTCAGATTCAGTGCTGACTGGTCTTCAGCTCCCCCCTGTGTCCTGCTTGCTCCTGTTCGTTTCCTTTGTTGCTGATCCGGCTTGTTCCTGACCCGACTCTGATTACTCTCCTGCTCCTGGTTCCTGACTTCGGCTCTGCTCCAGCTGTACATTACATACCCCTGACCCCTGCGCTATATACTCCATGTTGTACATTACATACTCCTGACCCCTGCACTATATACTCCGTGTTGTACATTACATACTCCTGTCCCCTGCACTATATACTCCGTGTTGTACATTACATACTCCTGATCCCTGCACTATATACTCTGTGTTGTACATTACTCCTGACCCCTGCACTATATACTCCTGTACATTACATACTCCTGACCCCTGCACTATATACTCTGTGTTGTACATTACATACTCCTGACCCCTGCACTATATACTCCGTGTTGTACATTACATACCGTGTCCCTGCACTATATACTCCATTACATACCCCTGACCCCTGCACTATATACTCCATGTTGTACATTACATACTCCTGACATCTGCTCTCCCACCTCCCCCCACTCCTATATATACACATAATATGTCTTCTCCTCTGTTCCTCCCATCCCCTACAAGCTGGACATTTTATATCGGATGATGTGATTGGAGCACAGAAAGTGATAATGGGGGAGGAGCCAATACCACAATGATGGCGGTCTTCAGGATGGGGGGAGGAGCCAATAATCCAATGATGGTGGTCTTCAGAATGAGGGAGGAGCCAATTCCCCAATGATGGTGGCCTTCAGGGTCAGGATGGGGAAGTAGCCAATACCCCAATGATGGTGGTCTTCAGAATGGGGGAGGAGCCAATACCCCAATGATGGCGGTCTTCAGGATGGGGGGGAGAAGCCAATACCCCAATTATGGTGGTCTTCAGGATGGGGGAGGAGCCAATACCCCAATGATGGTGGTCTTCAGGATGAGTCCAGTCTTCCTCTTGGTTGTCCTCCCCCCATCCTCACTCTCTGACCTCTGGTGGGGCTCCTGTCTAGTAATCCTCTTTGTCTTTGTATTTTAGTCCATGGCCGGGAGATGAGGAAAACCTCCAAGGATTGTCTCACTTTGTCTCCAGATTGGAAAGTAGAAGATGAGGACATCACACAGTATAGTCCAGGAGAAAACCCGGCTCCCTCCAATGTCCATCCGGCACCACCCAGTGTAGATGGACCATCGGATTCCACGTATCCTGAGGAACCTCAGACTGTGCGGAACCGGGCCGACCTTCCAACAGGGAACAGCTTCTCCTGTACTGAGTGCGGGAAATGTTTCCAATCTACATCCAGTCTTAATGAGCATAAAAGATCTCACATGGGGGAGAAGCCATTCTCGTGTGCTGAGTGCGGGAAACGTTTTCTGCGTAAAGTAGATTTTACTAAACATCAGAGGTCTCACACGGGGGAGAAGTTGTATTCCTGCCCTGAGTGCGGGAAATGTTTCCAATCTAAATCTGATCTTAATTCTCATAAAAAATCTCACACCGGGGAGAAGCCGCATTCCTGTACTGAGTGCGGGAAATGTTTCCATTATAAATCCCATCTGATTGTGCATAAAAGAGCTCACACGGGGGAGAAGCCATATTCCTGTCCTGAGTGCGGGAAATGTTTCCAATGTAAATCCGGTCTTAATGTGCATAAAAGATCTCACACGGGGGAGAAGCCGTATTCTTGTCCTGAGTGCGGGAAAAGTTTTTCAATAAAATCATATCTTTTCACACATCAGAGATCTCACACAGGGGAGAAGCCATATTCCTGTTCTGAGTGCGGGAAATGTTTTTCAAGAAAATCATATCTTTTCACACATCGGAGATCTCACACAGGGGAGAAGCTACATTCCTGCCATGAGTGCGGGAAATGTTTCCATTATAAATCCCGTCTTATTCTGCATAAAAGATCTCACACGGGGGAGAAGCCGTTCTCGTGTGCTGAGTGCGGGAAACGTTTTCTACAAAAAGTAGATTTAACTAAACATCAGAGGTCTCACACAGGGGGGGAGAAGCCGTACTCCTGCCCTGAGTGCGGGAAATGTTTCCAATCTAAATCTGATCTTAATTCTCATAAAAAATCTCACACGGGGGGGGAGAAGCTGCATTCCTGTACTGAGTGCGGGAAATGTTTTCATTATAAATCCCAACTTATTGTGCATAAAAGATCTCACACGGGGGAGAAGCCGTATTCCTGTACTGAGTGCGGGAAATGTTTCCAATGTAAATCCGGTCTTAATGTGCAAAAGATCTCACACGGGGGAGAAGCCGTATTCCTGTTCTGAGTGCAGGAAATGTTTTTTTTGAATAAGTCTAATCTTTTGACACATCAGAGATCTCACACAGGGGAGAAGCTATATTCCTGTCCTGAGTGCGGGAAATGTTTTTGAATAAGTCTAGTCTTGTCAGACATCAGAGATCTCACACGGGGGAGAAGCCATACTCCTGTCTGAGTGCGGGAAATGTTTTTCAAGAAAATCATATCTTTTCACACATCAGAGATCTCATACAGGGGAGAAGCCATATTCCTGTACTGAGTGCAGGAAACGTTTCCATTTTAAATCCGGTCTTAATGTACATAAAAGATCTCACACGGGGGAGAAGCCGTATTCCTGTTCTGAGTGCAGGAAATGTTTTTTTTGGAATAAGTCTAATCTTTTGACACATCAGAGATCTCACACAGGGGAGAAGCTATATTCCTGTCCTGAGTGCGGGAAATGGTTTTTTTGAATAAGTCTAGTCTTGTCAGACATCAGAGATCTCACACGGGGGAGAAGCCATATTCCTGTTCTGAGTGCGGGAAATGTTTTTTGAATAAGTCTAGTCTTTTTACACATCAGAGATCTCACACAGGGGAGAAGCCATATTCCTGTTCTGAATGCGGGAAATGTTTTTTCACAAACGTTCAATCTTGTCAGACATCAGAGATCTCACACAGGGGAGAAGCCGTATTCCTGTTCTGAGTGCGGGAAATGTTTCAGACTTAAATCCAGTCTTAATGATCATAAAAGATCTCACACGGGGGAGAAGCCATATTCCTGTTCTGAGTGCGGGAAATGTTTCAGTCTTAAATCCAGTCTTAAAGTACATAAAAGATCTCACACGGGGGGAGAAGCCGTATTCCTGTCCTGAGTGCGGGAAATGTTTTTCACTAATGTTCAAATCTTGTCAGACATCAGAGATATCACTCAGGGGAGAATCTGTATTCCTGCCATGAGTGCGGGAAATGTTTTTTCAGATAAGTCTAGTCTTTTTTCACACATCAGAGATCTCACACAGGGGAGAAGCCATATTCCTGTCCTGAGTGCGGGAAATGTTTTTTTCACTAATGTGCAGTCTTGTCAGACATCAGAGATCTCACACGGGGGAGAAGCCATATTCCTGTCCTGAGTGCGGGAAATGTTTTTCAGAGAAGTCCAATCTTTACACACATCAGAGATCTCACACGAGGGAGAAGCCGTTTACCTGCCATGAGTGCGGGAAACGTTTCCATTTTAAATCTGGTCTTAATGTACATAAAAGATCTCACACGGGGGAGAAGCCTTATTCCTGTCCTGAGTGCGGGAAATGTTTTTCGCAGAAGTCCAGTCTTTACACACATCAGAGATCTCACACGGGGGAGAAGCCGTACTCCTGTCCTGAGTGCGGGAAATATTTTTCGCAGAAGTCCAGTCTTTACACACATCAGAGATCGCACACGGGGGAGAAGCTGTATTCCTGTCCTGAGTAGACAATTGTGCGGTCGTGCTACACTGTACCCGGATGACTTTTTTAGCATTTTTCTTGAGACCGATAAAACTTTATTTTAGTGGTATTTATTCACCACTGGGGATTTTTATTATTTTTATTTTTTTTGCTATAGCAATGAAAAAGTACAAAAATTTTGAAAAAAAAAAAGTGTTTTTCTTATAAAAATGTTGCAAATAAATCATCTTTCTTTCTAAATCTCGGCCAAAATTTATTCCATTATCTTTTTACTTAAAAATAAAAATAAATAACCCAAATTAGTTTAATAACCAAAAATTATAATTTTTTTTACATTTTTATTAAATTTTTTTATATTATTATTATTATTTTTTTTTTGGTACATATTATCACAATAGCAGTACCATAGTGACATGTACTACTTGTGGGGGGAGGTTGAAGATTTTTTTTTTTTTTTACATATTGTTATACAATTTTGCAAATAAATCATCTTTCTTCAGAAATCTCGGCCAAATCGTTTTCATCAATCTTTTTGGTAAAAAAAAAAAACCCAATTAGTTTCTATCCAAAAATTATATTTTTTCTACATTATTATTATATATATATATATTATTTTTTTTTTTTTAACATACTGTCACCCTATCAGCACCATGGTGACACTGTACTACTTGTGGGGGGGATGAAGATTTTTTTTTTACACTGATTGCTTTTCCACCCATAAAGGCTGTAAGAGAAATCATTTCTCCTTCTCTCTGCATTCCTGCAGCCATTGAGAAATACTGTGAGATCTGTGATTGGTCACAGCTTGTCACATGGCACAAGGCTGTTGTGAATGGCCCTGTACCATGTTATCTCGGTGATCATTCACAGATTTCACACGTAGTAAGCAATGATCTCAGAAGTGACCTCTTGCTTACTACTCTGCATGCGATCAGTGATTGGCCAATCAGGGATCCTGTACAACGATCCGATCCGGAGGACACAGCGGGCCCCGGGTCGATCCCAGGGGGCGGGGAGGACGTTTATAAATCCCCCCCGGCACTGCTCCCGTCCGCCCGTTTATATACATGTTCCGGACAGGAAGGGGTTAAAGAACGATCTTTGTAGAAATGAACGATCCCACCAACTAAAAGATCAGATTGGTCACCAAAGAAAAGAGCGACAGCGATAACATGAAGAAACAAAGGTTCTAGTTTTGGGGAAATTGCCAGGAAAATGGGTCCTGGAGTTCCGGCATCCGGAGCCCAGAAGCTGTGCGCACGATTTACCAAACACCAAAACGATCGAAAGGTAGAGGAAGGAGAAAAAAGCCACAACACCCAAAACTGACAAGAATCACAAGACATGTCGTGCAGAACAGAAAATCCTCTGCCAAGGATACCAACAAGTTGTTGTCAAATCGAGGACTGTCCGTGTCTGACCGAACAGGAAGAAGTCGACTTGTTGCTGCTGGAGCAAGAGATCGAAAACCAAAAAAAAAAAAACATTTTAGAACTGCCAACGAAGAAAGAAAAGAGTGGAATGGGCCGAGGAACATCGAAATTGACCGAACAGGAAGAAGTCGACTTGTTGCTGCTGGATGAACCCCCCTGGTGGTATTCCCGAGTGTAACTCGGGAGTAACTTTCAGTACCAGAAGCGGTACCCCCCCCCCCCGAGCTACACTCGGGAATACCCTGCGGTGCTTCTCCAGTGATTTCTCCAGCACTTACCTTGTCCTGCAGCGTCCCCTGGCCGATGCCGGCATCCATCTTCCGGGTTCCGGTCCCTGCGAGCGTCGGAACGTATGGGTGAGGGGACCGGCGGGAGACTCACAAATGTCAAAATGTGATAGTCACTCAAAACACACAAAAAACTGATCGTATTCCATTCCTGTATCCAACCATTTCACATACATGTTGTCCGAATGCTTCGTCCCGCGCCCTGCCTGCATTTTTTTTTTTATTATTTTATAACTTTTTATTTCATACTTCTACAAACAACATTAAAACATTCCATCTAACAAAATATACTTTTTTCTTTTCTCCCCTAAATGAATAAATACATTCTATAACCCCTCTTTCTCCCGCCCCCCGCCCATCCCCCCATCATTGTCTGATCTTTCTCTATCTGTATCCATTTCTCCATAACTTGTTATTCAGACCAATCTCATTGTGATTTCTAATGCCGGCCATAGATGGGCCGAAAATCGGCCGATTTTCGGATTGTTAGTGGGTTAATAGGTCGGCCGATTTTCGCGGCAATGATGGGCAAATCGGCCAATGTTTTTACCGATAAAAAATCTGCACATGAGCCATGACCTAAAAGAAAAAGAAGAAGTAGAAATAGAAGAAGAAGAAATAGAAGAAAATAGAAGAAGAAGAAGAAGAAATAAAAGAAGAATTCCAGTCTGCTATTATATTTGACATGAAAAAGTATTGTGGTTGCAACAATGTATCTATTTGTATCCTAATAAAAACATCTGTATCTGAAATGGATACAAATGGATACAATGTTGCAACCGCAAGACTTTTTCCTGTCAAATATAATAGCGGGGCTCTGTGCAGGGACAGAAGTAATTAAATGCCGGCCGTAGACGGGATGAAAATTGGCCGATTTTTTTTTCGGTTGGTGGTAACGTCGGCCTATTGAACGACCGATTTTTCGTTTTTTTTTGTTAAAAAAAAAGGCCGGTTTTCGACCTATCTATGGCCTGCATTAGGCTGCCTCCTTTACTTTAACCCCTTTCCGCCAGCGCCTCTCGGCCAGGGGCAGACTGACCATTTGTAAACTCAGGCATTGTCTGAGGGCCCGGGGTCAGTAGAGGGCCCCATGAGATGCCCCTGGTACCTTTTTCATAGGCTTTTTTGAGTTTGGGCAAGGACACAGGGGCCCCATGATCCCCTATTGCTCGGGGGCCCCATGAGTTGTCAGTCTGCCCCTGCTCCCAGCCCTTTAAGAGTTTCAGAAGCCGGGAGGCGGGGCGGGTGGGGCGTGGTTTAGGGATCATGTGACCGCCGTGATGCGTCGTCACGGCGGTCACATGATCGGGAAAGGTCCCGATCAAAAGAGCAGACCGGGAACTTTCCGTGAGTACCAGACATGTGTGCTGGGAGCGCGCTCTCAGCACGTGTTTTTTCATACCTGAACGCAAATATGCGGCCGCTTGGTGTCTAGGCCCAGACACATTTGTGTGCGGCTGGCATAAAGGGGTTAATTAGTTCTGTATACGATTCTGCCGTTTTAAAATTGAACCAAACACTCCATATTCTTTTAAATATTCCCGTCTCATCCTCTTCTAAACTTCAAAGTTCTTCCATTCTGAAAATGCCTTCCACTCTACCTATCCAATCCACCACCCTCGGAACCTCTGCCACCAACCAAACGTTTGGTATCAAACCCTTTGCTGCGCTGAGTAAATGGTACAATAAATTCCTATTTACTTCCGTAATGGGCTCAGAATATTTTTATTTATTTATTTATTTATTTGTTTCAGGGACTTATATAGCGCCTGTCCATTTACGCAGTGCTTTCCATACATATTGCACATTCACAACAGTCCCTAACCCTCAAGGGGCGTACAGTTGTGTTCAAAATAATAGCAGTGTGTTGAAAAAATGTGAATAAAGCTGAAAATCCTTCTAATAGCTTTTATTTCCATACACACAAATGCATTGGGAACACGACACATTCTATTCCAAATCAAAACATGAAGAAAAATAGATCAAATTTGTGTTGTTCCTCTAAAAAAATTGAAGAAAAAAGAATATTAGACTGTTCAAAAAAATAGCAGTGTTTGTATTCTTCTTTACAAACTCAAACATTCACTATATAAACTGAAAAATGTTTGAAGATTTTGCTTTCCTTTGAATCACTTAATGAATATTTAGTTGTATAAGCACTGTTTCTGAGAACTGCTGTACATCTGTGTTGCATGGAGTCAACCAACTTCTGGCACCTGTGATCAGGTATTCCAGCCCAGGATGATTGGACTACATTCCACAGTTCTTCTCTATTTCTTGGTTTTGCCTCAGAAACTGCATTTTTGATGTCACCCCACAAGTTTTCTATTGGATTAAGATCCAGGGATTGGGCTGGCCACTCCATAACGTCAATCTTGTTGGTCTGGAACCAAGATGTTGGACGTTTACTGGTGTGTTTGGGGTCGTTGTCTTGTTGGAACACCCATTTCAAGGGCATTTCCTCTTCAGCATAAGGCAGCATGACCTCTTCAAGTATTCTGATGTATTCAAACTGATCCATGATCCCTGGTATGCGATAAATAGGCCCAACACTGTAGTATGAGAAACATCCCCATATCATGATGCTTGCACCACCATGCTTCACAGTGTACTGTGGCTGGAATTCAGTGTTTAGGGGTCGTCTGACAAACTGTCACCGGCCACTAGACCCAAAAAGAACAATCTTACTTTCATCAGTCCACAAAATGTTGCGCCATTTCTCTTTAGGCCAGTCAATGTGCTCTTTGGCAAATTGTAACCTCTTCAGCACGTCTTTTTTTCAACAGTGGGACTTTGCGGGGGCTTCTTGCAGATAGCTTGGCTTCACATAGGCGTCTTCTAATTGTAACAGTACTCACAGGGAACTTTACACCTTCTTTCATCTTCCTGGAGCTGATTGTTGGCTGAGTCCTTGCCATTTTGGCTATTCTTCTATCCATTTGAATGGTAGTTTTTCGCTTTCTTCCATGTTTTTCAGGTTTTGGTTGCCATTTTAAAGCATTTGCGATCATTTTAGCTGAGCAGTCTATCATTTTCTGCACTTCTTTATATGTTTTCCCCTCTCTAATCAACTTTTTAATCAAGGTACGCTGTTCTTCTGAACAATGTCTGGAACGACCCATTTTCCTCAGAATTTCAGAGAGAAATGCACTGTAACCAGCATGTACAACATTTGCTGCCTTCCTTCCTTAAATAAGGGCAATAATTGCCACCTGTTTTTCAAAGAATGAATGACCTCACTAATAGAACTCCACACTGCTATTATTTTGAACATGCCCCTTTCAATTAGT